TGACGGATCAGTGATGGAATAAAATTCTGCTGCTAAATTCCGTCACTAATCCCTTTTTTTTTAAGTGTGGTCAACCATATAGGTCAACCAGTTGCTGATTGGAACCAATATTTCCAATCGAAAAACAAATTCTATTCGATAATGGGGCGTGTGTACATGTAGACTGATAGCTGACTAGGACATTAACAAATTAAAGATTACAATGCATCTATCCCGTTTAATGTACTAAAACTTAGTAATTTTTTGTTCTGAAAATAAAAAAGTTGATATTTGACAATAATCATTATCGTATATTGAAGCAAAAAATTATTATTATATAAAACAAATTATATAAAGTTTAAAATTACATAAAAGTTTTTGTTTGGCCGAAAAAATTGTATGTCCAACATGTAGGGCTCCTAATTAAGAACTTGGAACGCACAGTCCAAGATGTAAAAAGTCTGGCTCGATTATCCCCATATGGATATGGATTCACCTGATTGTGCAAAAAGTGAAAATACGTTTGCATATGTTCATATGCTTTCTTACCTGCCACCAGCAAAAAATGCATTGAGTTTTTGTTTATCAGCGTCATTCATAACCCAAAATGCGGAGACACTCCATTCGACGTCTGTGGAACCTCCATAATATTTATCTCCTCTCACAAAAATTGAGGCATGCTGGACACCTCAAAAAATAAAAACATCAAATAAATGCCATGAATCTCACATCAAAAGGCTACAATGAGATGCCTGATAAGGCCTTGGTTCCAACTCTATAACAGTTAGCTTTTGGGGTATGATTCTCCTAAGAATTTATACTTGTTACAAACAAAAACACATTAAGGTTGTCGTTTGGTTATTAGAGAGACAACACTTAGTGATACCTTGTTGACACGTTGACCTCCAGCGTATGACAGTAGATAGCTTGTCCTCAATATGTCTTCTTATAACACCTTATCTTTATACACCAATGGGGTAATTCTAATTACCTTTGAACCACTAAAAGCACAAGTATAATCCTAGGAAAAACAAAATTCTTTGATATATGTATATTTAAAACATTTCCCAAACACATGGTTCGATCTTGTTAGGGAACGAGGTTTACTGAAAAATTTTAAACTTTTCAAACTTATTTACTATGAAGCCTGTCTAGTGGTTCAAGTACTTGACTGGTAAAATTTATCTTGATATTCGGGCTCTACATTGTCAAAGCTCAACACTTTATTAATATATAAATCAATAAAACTATTTCTCCGTTCAAGCTACTATACTATTCCTGCGCACGGTGCATACAGTTGCCCATATCTATTCCGATAGATGAATAGAACTAACGATTGATATCACTATTTAACTACTAGATGGCACTTACGTGCAGGCTACCGGAGCCATAGGGAGGTACATACAAAACCTATAATCTCTTACATATTTACAATTGTATACAAAATTATAATCATACATGACTAAACAAAAGCCAAACAAGTAAATAACAAAAGTATTATTTATATGACCAACAATACTATTAACTTCAGTTACAACCTTCTTAGCTTCCTTCTATCAATTTACTCTTACTCTTTGAGCCACTTGCCTTCGCTATACATCTTCCTATAGTTTCCTAGATTCCAACGATCAATACGTGATACCATAATACTCCTCTGGTCTTTAATGTAAAACCTAATTAATTAATCTGAATAGATTAAAGATGTTAACTAAATTAATTAATATGATATGTCTTTTTCTAAAACATCCTAAGCATCATTCCTTCCTCTCCTACTTAATTATTGTTAGGAGAATATTAATAGGTTTAATTTGAAAAAAATTGATAAACATATAAAATAAGTCTTACATATAGGATCAAGATTAACTTTCTAATTAGATTCCACATTAAGGACCGGAGGAGTATAATGTTGGAATTTCTTCCTCCGCAAGTAGTCACATTTTTTGGTCCACATCTTCAAGTTTAGGGTTAAACCAATAGAAACTTTTCTAGAACGGTTTGATTAAACCAAAGCTATGGAATCTGACTATGAATTCCGTTAACGGCATGTGTTACACGAAATGATAGTCACATAAAGAAATATTTTGTAGGGAGAATTCCTGTGAGAATCTATAAAAGAAAGATAATTACTAAAAATTTCAATAACTAGTGAACAGTTGAAATTTATTATTATTTCTTACTTTGAAACTTGTCATTGTAAGCTATTCAATTGCTATGGGCTTTTTTGTGAATTATGTTCTTTTCATGAGATCTTATTGCAATTCTCCCTATTTGGTTACCGATTTTATTTTTACTAGCTGATCCACCAAGGCGTCATGCTTAATTATGATTATTTATTTTTTTGGTACAAATTGTAATTATTTGATTTGCATTATCCAGTAAAAATATGTTATTATTCTGATTATCTTGTTGCTACAGGACTTGACATCACTGGACAATTCATCTTGATGGAGGAAATTGGCATATTGCTCCAACTGTTATGGATATAAAGAGAGTTTAGGAAATTTGGATGCTTTCATTTTTTGAAATACCCATAATATGTATCAATCCCAATTTCTAATCATTATAAGCAATATTTTTAGAGTTTAGATGGATGGATTATCTTTTCATAAACCTGTAATCAAAACAAAATGGAAAAGAAATATAAGAACTTAGATAAAATTGAAGAAAGAATATGTAATCAAAACGCAGAAGAAAAAATGATGTTTGAATCATTGCTTAAAGAAGTGCTTACGTTTAATGGTCAACCATGTTTCAGATAGGATTGTCTCTAATAGGATAGTACTAGTGTGTAGGAAAAAAAAAAAGAGTTTAATTATTGAGATAAAAAGCAATGACCAAAATTTTCAAAGATAAAAAATAACCCAAATTAAATAAAAGGAATTTAGATTCAACTATTTTTCTGTTGATTGATGTGGAAATTTAGATTGACAAAGAAATTATAAGTTATTTTAATTTACTACAGAAATTATAATTTATCTTAATTCTCACAAAGCAAAAATCATGAAACACGCTAACATTATTAACTACTTGCAACGATATTTGTTTCCCAGAGGACCATCATAAAAGAACTGGGTGCCCCAATCATCAGATTAACCATTGGGCACAATATATTAATTGTGGCACTTAGAATGGTCAAAGTGATTGAAAAGTAATTAGCATTAGGAGACACAACTTTGGTGATCTTTATCTTATACATATCGTCATCTAGCAATTTCCTTCGATTGGATCCTACATATATCTATATTGTATAAAGATTTTAGACACATTGGACATATAATGAAGATAAATATATCAAATCAATTTTCAATACATATTTTTGGAGTTGAACTAAAGAAGACTAGTACCCACTATCTCAGTTAATCATATCTGATAGTTGTAATATGGGGAACAGATAGATGATTCGATTGACTAAGCTAAAAAAAAAAAAAACCCCAATATTTCCTGTTAATCTAACTTACAGTTGGCCATCCAATTGCCTGCCACAAAAATTTGCAATAATATATTAGTTTAAAATCTCTGGCATAGGATTCGTCAGGTGACTCATCATGCACTTGGTGATATTTAATTTCATTGAACCTTCTTGAGGAAAAATGACCACTTTCCATTGTAAATTGTGGTGTGGTGCATGTGTTGCACATATATTAAATTTTAAATTTAATTTTTCATCTTTGCACTCTATATCAAGGATGAGATGCGTGAACATATAATAATATTAATATTGGTTGATTTCATCGACTAATTAATTTCCTTCACTTGGAGGATCTTGTTATCATCTCTATGAAAATTTAGATAGATTATTTGATATACATATATATATAAAATAAAAATTAATATATAAATCAATTATAAATACAATTTGTAATAATTTTAATGTCAATTGACCATACAGTTTGGTTTCAAAGGAATGGCTTTTATAGAGAAATCTCCTGCTGCTTTATTGGCAATGGTTAAATTTAAAACAAATGAAGAGTGGTTCCTTGAATAAGATGCATCCATTAGGCTTGTTTTGGCATGAGAATCGTATCTTCAATTGTTTCTAATGCTTAGGTATAGATTGATTTAACAAAGCTGATATTTTAACTTCCTTTTTAGCTAAATGTTCTTGAATTTTTAAATAAAAAAAAAAAAGAGATCACAAAAATGGAAAGTTAAAATTAAATAATAATAAAAATCGAATACGAATCATAGAATAAAATACAACAAATGTTAGAATAAAATAGAAGAATATATAGACTAAATAAAAGATTGAATTAATTACGAATAAAAGCTGGTTCCCAGTCCACACGGCAAATGTACAGGTTATGACAAGTAACATGGTAATGAAAAAAATACCATTCCTATGATCAGTTAATTCTAAAACTCAATGGATTAAGTATAAATCATCACAAGACTTTTTTGTGTATATATACAAGACTTAATTATTTGTTACATGCTAACTATATATATTCTGCAAGACGGCAACTATATACAACAAATCCTAACCAATAGTTTTAGGTGGTTACTGTGAAGATAATACTATCTCTGGTCCTAATTATAAGACTTTGTTTATAGACTATAAATGAGTTCATATAATTAGGACTAGAGGTAGTATTTCATACAATATTTACGCTATGTCATCTATTACATTATAGAGGCTACTCATTTTTTCACATTTGTGTGTGTGTGTGTGTTGTTTTTTTTTTTGACAAAGCAAAACCTTTTTATCTCATCCGCCGTTAAAGCATACAACATACCTAATCAAACATATATAGGACAACATTACACATACTATACAATGTCACACCAAACATTACATAGCATTATAATCTTATCTAGCCTTATTTCATTAGGCTTTATTTTATAAAATATCCCACCAAGCCTGGTATGTAGTACTAATGATGAGGTTAGGGAATTCACTCCATGCTACAATTGAATTCCTTTATTTCCTAAGTACACAGCTTTAGAGAGTCTCCTAATATCTAGTTTCCCATCTAGCTAGCTAGCTGGTATTATCTTGATTTTGTCAAATAGCTAGTTTAACATTAAGTTTGACAAAATGGGCTTCTTCCGGGACCACCATAGTAGAAGTTGGCACCCCAATCATCAGAATAATCACCTAGGACAATGTCGTAGCACATGGCTTTGCCAGCAACAGTGCTGAAGTACTTGGGAGTCACAAAATAATTTTCTTCATCAACAATGGAAATGTCCTTGAAAAAGCTAGCCCTCCCAAAACCTGCTCGAGCGAAATATCCACTTCCCATTTCTGTTGTTGTGTGTTTCCCTTCAGATTTCTTGTTCATCACTTCACCTCCCCACTGTATTATTGATTGACTCTTAGACAGGCGATCAAACATAGAAGCTGGCCAGTATCCCACATCTGTATCCCCAAATCTCATCCACCAGTTCCCACTTCGTGGATCCTGCTGATTAATTAGTATTACGTTTATTGTTAGTTTACATTAAACCAAGACAAAAATTAAAAATCAGATGGCATTAGGAGGATCTATATTATGATTGTTTTAAAAAGGGATTTATGTTAATTCTATCCCCAGAAAAAGGTATACCTTCCTGATAAGGATGGAGATTCCATATTGAGAACCACCATCGACAGATAATGGTTGGAGGGTGGCTCCCATCAATACCGTATTGGAAAGTTGAACAAAGCCAGGACATTGTAGGTTATAACAGCCAGTTTGTTCATATGAATCACTCTGTTGGATGAAGAAATAATCCATTTGAAAAAAACAACAAAAAGCGAGTGATGTGAAGAAACAAGAAATTGGGTTGATAAGAAATTTGAACTTACTGTCCAATATGCAAAAAGTCTTCGTTTATCATCCCCATATAGCATTGGATGAATCTAGTTGTCCAAATCAAGGAACAGCGTAGCACGTACAGAGTTAATACATTTCTTGAATAGACATGTTGAAATGTACTGATGATGCGTACGCGTGATATGTGAGAGAAATTATAGAATACCTGCCAACCTGCTTCGATGCTTTCGACATTATCAGTATCATCTTGATTCATAATCCAAATTTGAGAGAGACTAAATTCATTGCGTCGTTGAACATTTGTCTTCCAAATGTTTATGAATGCTTTGGCTCCGTGATATTCATCTCCCTTCACTTCAGCTGTGTGATGCTTCGAAATATTAAAACACACCGCAAGTGTACAGGTCACAAAAATAGATAGTAGCAAATCAAGGTCGATCCTATAGAAAACTCATATAACAGTGATTAGGCAATAAAAATTCTCTTTTGTTTAAGTTGAGAAAATCAGGATTAAAAGAAATTGGGTGAAAAGAAATTAAAATAAAACAAAACAAAGATTTCTTCAGTTAATGTAAGCAAATATTAAAAGGCCAACTTATAGTCACTAATCCCTTGCTAGCTTCTTAAATCTTGTTTCACTGAATTGATTAGCTTTAATGTTAATTTTGTTAATCTAGAGTTCAATTAGCTACAAGTACCTGATGGTCCACTTATAACCCTCTCTTAAATTAATTATGTAATCTTTCACACAATTGGCTAAACAATTTGGTCTCACTTATCAACAATTATACGGGGCAATTAGGTATAATTCTATTCTAATCACAAATTAGATTATCATCCAATCCCATATTACTTAATCTAAGAGCTTAATTAAAATCCTCTTTGTCAAGAAAAACTTTAATTCTCAAATTCACAATTAATGGTGGCCAGTGATCAAATGGATAAATAAAAAACAAGATTAAGTAACTAAAATTTAACATTAAGCATCCCCAGTTCAGTGAAAACAAAGCTCAATCCACTAACAAGTTCATAGTTTCTCTAGGCTGTAAAACACACTGGCCACACATGACTTCAAGCAATCTCAATTCAGCAACAATAATTCCAGATTCAAAATCATGATAGAAAGAAAGAAAGATTGGAAACAAAACACTGTTCGAAGCTCCTACCACAGCTCGTGCTCCTCTGCTCAAAACCAGATTCGGCCTCTCGCAATGTCTGCCTCCTCCCTCTCTCGCTCACTGAACCAGTCGAGTCCAAGAGCAAGAGAAGAAGATGACGTCCAGTCTCCTTGCTGTGAACAGTGTCGAACTTCTCCTCCTGCAGAACCCGTCGGCCACCTTCAGAGAAGAAGTTCCAGTCGCGCCTCACTCCCTTCCTCACTATTCTTCTCGGCGTCTCTCTTCAGAATCCAGCGAAGAAGAAGAAGATACAGAACTGCTCCGCACCAGTTCGGCGCTTTCAGTCTCCGACCCTCCTGTTTGGGCGCCTTCAAGATGAATATCCCCCAAATCCTCCAACGCCCTCCAGGTCTCAACGATTCAAAAATTGCTTCCCCAAAACGTTGTCGTCCCCCATCTCCACCATCAGCACGTGCTCCTCATGATCCCATTCAAGAATTTCCTAAACGAGCGTTGATGCTTGCTGAAAGAAGAAGAAAATAAAACAAATAAAAGGAAAAATTAAAATGAAAAGGAAAATAAAATGAAAGGAAAGGAAATAAAATATAAGAAATTGAAATAATAGAAAATAAAATCAACTAAATCTTAAACTTAATATTAATTATTTTTATTTATTTCAAACTAAGATTTATAATAAAATCCCCCAAATAATGCTCACAATTAATTTCTTTTCAAATCTCTTTTAAATCATCCAAAATCCTATTGATAACTCTCCAAAAATCACTCAAAATATTCTTTCAAGATATTCAAAATAATGAGTTATCACTGTGGCATACTAGAGGCACCAAAGCCATCAGAGACGAATATAATGTATGTATTTAACATACAAACACACACAAACAAGCCCTCTTTTTAGTCTGAAGTGAAAAGCTTCAACTATAATTAATCCATGGTATTGAAAACCGGACCAGATCAACCGGTTTAGACAGGAAATCGATGAAGGAAACTGGTCAGGTTGAGTTTGTGAACTAGGTTCATGGTGACTTGGTGTGACTCGAACTAAACCGGGGTGACCCGCCCAGTTTGGTGGGTTAACCCGAGTCCCCCTTTTTGTTTTAAAAAAAATATTTTGATGATTTTTTTTAAAAGTTGTTGATAATTAGGACTTAGTGATTGAATAATTATAGAGAGAAATATTTTGTTTTCATATATCTATTTTGATATTTTGTTGGGATGAATATTTAGTGATTTTAGTAATATGATATTATAAGAAATTGTAAGGATGTGATTAGTTTACTAGTGATTCAAGATATTAAATTGATATCTAGTTCTTAGTGAACATTGAATTTTTTTTTATTTTTTTATTTATCACTGGTTTGACCCCCGATTTGACTCCAGTCTAATCTACTGACCCTTGACCCATTGCCTTGACCGGTTCAATTACCAGTCTGGTTTTTAGTACCTTGATTAATCCTGGTTCGACTCTACTACCTGTATCCAATCTGTCCAACAACACAAGTTTGATTAGTAAACATCAAACTATATTGTTTTCTAAGGCATATGTTAAATTTGGTGAGTAAATTGTTGGGATTGGAGGGAGAAACCCAAAAATGGGCGGCAAAATCCAAACTGAGAAATCCTGAAAAAGGGGAGAGACCTAATTGGGTTAGGAACTGGGGGGATTATGCGTATAAGTGGTCTCCACACTATATCTGAATCCAAAATCTTAGGGAAATAAGTTTATGCTGGGTCCTTCCATTTATATTCCATCTTTTAACCCAACTTTATCCAAGTCAAGTCAATCCACTCCTGACATGCCAGCGTATATTTTGCATATTAAATATAATATACACTTCAAACATTCTAATAAATTGATAACATCACGGCAATAAAGGTACTTCGTGGCTATCCGTGGATGAGTATAATAATCCGGACAGATTTGGGATGCTCTTGTTATCCTTCTTTCCATATTGTTGGAAAGATCCTGATGGCCTCAATATGTCCTCTTTTGTTGTTCTTCTTATAGGAACGGTTCTTTCAGGACAACTTCCACTGTGGTGCCACATTTGAGCAATTGGCTTTGATTCAGTTAACCTTCTTCCTTTTTGAAGAAATGTTCGCCTCATCTTCCTAGAATAGGAAATAATTGGCCTCAGAATTATGAGTTATGAAATCCAATAAAACTAAAACATAAACTTAGATAAATTATTAATTTTACCTGAATTTTGTGATTCTTCAGTTTTGGATGATCGAAAGCAGCTGGCCGATTCAGAATATGCACGCAGTCGATTATGTCACCATCATGACTCTTCTCTTTTTAATACCAAATTAACCCAAACAATCGTAAATTATGTACTGTTATGATAAAAAACAAGAAATAATTTCTTCTTTAAGTGAAACTCCAAGAAAAATATTACAAATTGCTTGATTAATTCTATTATATACGTGCACACTTGTGTGTAAATATATGTATTCCTGAACATGAAACACTAACGCTTAACGTAATCTTCTTTCTTCTCTACCAACGCTACAAACATATACAGGTAAGAAACAATTATATATATGAAAAAGAAATTAAAAACAGCAGATCGAAAAACCAGTCGAAGAAGATGAGTTGGATACCTTAATAGACTTAACAGCTGGTTCATTCAACTTCTTCAGAAGCTTCCTAACCTCAAGTTGCTCAGCAAATCTACCATTGCCAGTCTTGGCCTTGCTGATTGTGTCTTGTTCTGCCATCGTCATGTGCACAAAAGACAATAAAAAGCAGACAACACTTAGCAGCCAAGTCTTCTCATATCCTAGTTCGTACGCCATGAAAGCTCAGAGATATGAAGCAAGCAACTACTTCAGTGAAAATTCTGACTTGGAGATTCAAGAGTCGATCTTGAAGAAATTTATAGGATGACTTAAGATTTTTTGAAATTACATAATTATCCTTCTGTTTAAGGAGATTTTTCATCCAAAATACGTCTATTGACAGTTTAACAAGACAATAAGTAAGCATGCCTTTGAAACATGGAAAACAGCTTTCAACTTAACAAGGCATCTTTCTTGCAGGTTTATTGCAGCTTTCAACTTCTGGGTTCTCATCTTCATGTTCATGGATAAACCAAACATATAATATGGTGTTTTTTCTCCCTTTTTCTAGTGCTGGGAAAATGATTATATATGTTTAGGTTGGACCAAACTTATGGAATCCGACTATGAATTCCGCTAACGTCATGTGTTGCACGAAATGAGATTGATTCAAAGATATTATATGTGGTGTTTTGTCACCATTTTAAATTTTTACTAATCTACCAGGCATGATGCTTGATTTTGATTCTTAATTTACTCGATCGATCATCACCATCACCACCTCCACCTTTCACCAATAACTCTGAGACCTTACAATTGCACAAAGCAAAAATTATAAAAAGGGCTAATATTAGTGACTTTTTTTTTTTCGTTTAAGATGATAATCTTGGATAATTAGGTTTTCCTACAGGACCACCATAAAAGAAGTGGGTAACTCGATAATCAGAGTAGTATAGCAGTTAGAATGGTTACTGGGATTGAAAATTTGAAATAGTCACTTGCATTAGGAGACACAACTTTACGTCATATCCACTATTTTTTTCCTATTGGATCTTATTTATTATATAAGGATTTTAGATGGATTCCACATATAATGAAAACAAAAATATCAAATCAATTTTAAAATGCAGGTTTTTATTTTTGGATGAACGAAAAAGTTTTTAACGGGTTGAATTTTAGGATTGATCCTTGTGAATTGATTTGTGTTTAGGATAGGAATATACCTAAGGACCTTGCGTAATTTAAACGGAGTAGCGCGGTAATCATCACTTGTGCTAATTAACATAAAGAATTTTGTAATAAGATTAGGAAAAGTGTTTAAGTGATTGAGAAGACACTTATATGCACTAAAGATCCTGAGATAAATAAGAGAAAGAATATAAATCAATCGTGTAAGTTAATTAAATTTGCCTTCTTTATTCTATAACACATGAAGTTTTACTAGCTTTCGCCTTTTTTGGCTCTAATTCTGAAAATTATTCATTGATTGTTTTGCTTGATCTAAGATAACGAGGTAGTTTAATGTTATAATAGAAATACGGAAAGTTCTCTTGAGAGAAGGATTTCTCAGTTCTCATCAACAATATGTAGTTCGTCCGATAGTTACGAGGCCCTTTGGGAACACAAAAACGAACTAAAGTCTAAATGTTTGTTTTATAAAAACTTTACGTGATATATTTTAAAAATTAAAAAAAATTCATATAACTTCAGTAAAATTTAAGGGGAAAAAGCTACAAATTTATTCAAATTATTGACACTTTGAAATATAAAAAAAAAAAATTCTGCAAACGGTAAACAAAATATAACAGTAATACTTTCTTTTTCTTTAAATTCTTTAGATACATATGAATTGATCTGAATGAATAGTTTATCAGGATCATGGGCAATTAGGATTTCTGCCAGGTCCCCCATAGTAGAAGTAATTGCCCCAATTATCAGAATAACCACTCTTCACATTGTAGCAATTAGACTGATCAGTGTAGGTGGAAATATCAGGAGGAGGCAAAAGTTGATTATCTTGATTAACAACTTGGAGGTCTTTGAAAAAGCTGGCTTTTCCAAAACCTTCTTCAGGAAAACGGCCACTTCCCATTTGTGTTGTGGTGTGTTGTCCATTAGATCCTGAGTTCACAATTTCACCTCCCCATTCTATCACTGTTGCACTGTCTGATAGATTTGGGAACAGAGAGGCTGGCCAGTATCCGAGAACTTGTTCATTCCCAAATTGCATCCACCAGTTTCCTTGTTTTGGATCCTGTTTGATGCAGATTTCGTTAACCAAGCAAGTTACAGAACAAGATTATTTTCTCAGATGAGTCTAATTAGGGAAAAAAGTTCGTTAAGTCAATTATAAAAAGATATATCAAAATATAAGTTGATTTTACTTGGAAAAAACAATTGTATCTCATGATTTTATGTTAATTTAGAGCTGATTTCTTGATTTTCCCTCCTTAACCCGCTTATTCAAATGGGAAAAATCAGCTCTTGCTTTTTTTTTTTTTGGTAATGGCCCTGAAAAATTAAATAAGGACTAAAATACACATTTGGTGCTTTGTATAAGATTTTAGTTTGGTCCTATAACTTTAAAAAATATATTTTTAGTCCTTTAATCCTAAAATTATTAACGAAAAAAATAAAAAAATGATTATTGTTGATAAAACATTATCATATACTAAAATATTAAATTTAATTTTCAAAACAATCATAATTGTTAGGAAAAAATTATCATTTAAGACTAATGATTTTATGGTTAAAAGACTAAAAATATGCTTTTTAAGGGATCAAACTGAAATCTTAAGTAAAAATAAATGACTAAATGCATATTTTAACCTAAAATAAAATAACCAATTGTTCTTGTTTGTATTTTAAATTAAATGTTAGAGATGCATCAAAAACGAATTAGTGGCCTAGCGGAGCTAATGTCTATAGTCTATTTCAGGGTTCTGACTTTGAATCCTTGTTAAAGTCACATAAATTCAAAAAACAAAAACAAAAATTGAGCATGAAAATGTATGCATCTAGATTAATATATATACCAATAGCATATAATAATTATAAGAGATAAATAGAGAAAGTCCGTTTATTTTCTTATGAATAAATATGAATATATTGGATATATATGGATCCAACAAAAGAGAATTTAAATCATGTCATATGTGGACAAAAGATATAGGGCATTGTGTTTTTATGAGAAAAGAAAAGGATGTACAGATCGACTAGATGGAGACAGCACATATTATGCAATTCACAATAATTCATATTGATATCCCATCATCAGCACGTTATGTGTCGAATTTCTTATCTCCTAGCATGTGTCATGTTCTAAAAGGATCTAAACTACTTAACAAAATGCATCTATTTTGATCTATATAGCAACCACAGATTTTATTTTAAGCATATTTAACCCGTAACTATATATTTATCTAACTTTTAATCATTTCATAGATTTGATTATTCTCGATTCTCTCCAATAACATCCACAAAATCCAAATGTGTCAGAGGCCCTTTAGATTTATAAGTAAGTAATAATGTCTGTCCATTTGTATTTATATCGTGGAAGTGTCCGCCAAGTGGGGTTATATGTATTCTTGCCAGAATGTCATTGTGTGTGTGTGTACGTGTACGTGTGTGTGTGTGTGTGTGTGTGTGTGTGTGTGTGAAGCAAATTAAAGAAAGATAAGAAGGGGGAAAAAGCAACACACGAACCTTCCAGATAAGAATGGTGATGTCATATTGGGAGCCACCAAAGCCAGAAAGTGGAGAGATGGTTGCTCCAAGGGCTATTTCATTGTTTGTTTGAATAAAACCAGAGCAAAATAGATTATAGCATCCAGTTCCTTGATACGAATCACTCTGTTATATTTAAAATAATATTAAAGAATTAATAATAATGACGAGAGAATACTGGCTGGAAATATGACAAATTGATCAGCTTTTAAGAAGTTTAAACTCACCGTCCAATATGTGAACAAACGGGTGTTATTATCCCCATACAGATCTGGGTTAACCTAATTTTCCAAAGTACTAAAAGATGAGACAACTAGAAAAAAATTAATGTTATAGTTTTTTTTTTGGCAATATAATAATAGTTTTTAAATGAATACATACCTGCCAGCCGGCTTCAATGCTATTGAGATCTTGACCAAAAGTGCCACTCAAAAGCCAAATTTGAGAGAGACTGAACTCATTAGATTTTTGAACATTGGGTTTCCAAACGTTCATAGTTGCCTTGGCTCCATAATATTTGTCCCCTTGTACGTATACTATCGCATGCTAGATGATCCAAAACCATGAGAAAAAGATGAGAAAAATTACTTTAAATAAGGAAAATTATGCATTAAAAATATTTTCAATAATCTTTTAATTACTCACTTCAGTCTTAAAAGTAAAAACTAAATAACTAATTTACGAATGTTAATGAAATTAGTTATATTGGTTGTTTGTTAAAAAAAGCCTTGGTTTTTCTAAAATACCGTTTAAATTAAAAACTATGACATTGACAGAAATTTTCTTTAAATGTGTACAATAATAGAGATAATTTAAGAAGAAAATTAGAGAAAGTGATTTGATGTTTTAGATTTAGAACCAAAACAATTCCTCAATTAGCTGATAAAGAATAAAATAGAAGCCTTCTATTTCAGTATAATCTTCTGTATTAAGAAGGACTTAAATTCAATCAATTAAAGAATGAACAATTCCATCTCACATCGAGATTAGGTCCTTCAGCATATACTCCCTGCGGTTCTTATTATAAGCTTTAAATAATTAATTCACGGATAATAAACCATTAGTTAAAATTAGTTAAAGGCAATAAATAGGTTAGAAATATAATTTTATTTTCAAATATGCTTTTATAATAAATGAGAAAAAAGATGAAAGAAAATGTGTCAGGAAATGTGATAAGAGAGAGTATGATAAAGGAGAGAGAATAATTAATTGCAGGTTTGAAAAAAAAAATGTATTAAATATTAAGACAAATTCCAAATTGAAGCTTATAAAAAAGACCACACTCCTCTCCAAATTTGAAGCTTATAAATAGGATATGGGGAGTATACACTTGTTTCTTTTTTTCAAGGCTATTATCAATGTCATGTTCCCATGAAAAAATTGCCTAGAAAACCAAAGTCCCGTTTTTTTTTTTTCCTGGATTCTCTCTTTTCATTTAATTTGAGCCTGGAATAATACTGAAAAGTACCATAAATCTAGATTGATTTTACTAGGGAAGAGGATCATACTCCTATTTTATTCTGTGAGTTTTATAAGAGAATGACAGGATATATATATTTATATATATTGTACCTGGTGGCCACTACTTTTAGTGATAAGTTCAGATTGAGGTTGTGCAGATGTGGGTTGAGGGATGCTTTTTTGCTTCTTCTTTCCAAATTGTTGAATAGAGTTCGCTCTCAATATGTCATCTTCTTTCGTTCTTCTCATTGGAATCGTACCTTTGGGGCAACTTCCACTGTTCTGCCATGACTGACTCATTCCCTTTGAATTTGAAGTCACTTTACTTTCTTCCTCAGCAATCATTCTTCCTTCTGGGTGCCAATTCGGTCTCATCTTCACTCATATGAACAATAATAATAATAGACTTCAAAATTTTTAGTCATTACAGAAATCTCAACATAATTAAAAAGGTCGATCGTTTTTACCTGAATTTTATGATTCCTGAGGTCTGGATGATCAAAAGCGGGTTGATTTGAGATGAGAACACAGTCGATTGTATCTCCATCAGAGCTCTGTTTTTAACAACACCAAATTTTTAATCTCAGCAGTCTTAAATTGGACCAATATGTTGCTTAGTTAATTGGGACCAGCAAGTAGAAGTTAAAACAGAGGGAGAAAATCAATTTTATATGGCTTGATCATACTGAAGTTGTCTTGACGACTTGAAAATATCAGAAATTAAAATTAATCAGAAAGTAGGAATTTTTCACCTGGATGGACTTAACGGCTGGTTTATTCAACTTGTTCAAGTGTCTCTGAACCTGAAGCTTCTGTGTATAACTGCTATCGCCACCGCCGACTGCGGTTGCGCCAACGGTGACTAACCCACCAGCAATAGTCAAGTATGCAGAAAACAAGAAGCAGATCATCATCATTTTCTCTTCCCAAGTCTTCATATGTCCTAATTTTGCTGTCATTGAAGGGATGAGAACTGAGTATAAAGAGAAAAAAAGTACCTTTTATCAGAATTCTCAATTGGGAATTCGAGATTTTGAAGGCACAGAAATTTATACTATTATATATATGTGTGTGTGTATGTGTACATATATGATGCCCAAGTGGATTATTCTGGACCTCAAAACTACGGTGGGTTGTTGAGGAGAAAAAAGATGGTGTCTAATGGCTTCCTCTGCTTATCCACGCACCTTACTGACTCCTCTTTTTATTATAGTATATTACTTCTAGTTCTAATTATAAGACCTCGTTTATAGTTTACATCCAGTGGATCTTTAAAATTTTGCTAGCAGATAATTATTAATACAAGACATATGTAATATTTATCATGACACAATAAAATATGCATACTCTTTTAGTGAATTAATGTATAATATTAATGTTCTTTTTGTGAATTTTAAATAAATATCAAACTTCTGTATGGTGCTCTTTCAATTCTCCGTCTTTTTTCCCCCCTGCAAAACAAAAGGGGCATTTTGGGCATTAAAGAGAAGATAATGGTAGTGCTAGGTAGGCCGCCTTCTGGTTCGCTTCCACAGGGGACCGGGGTACGAAATACTTTTGCCGGGTTCGCGCGATGTTTTTGACCGCCACTTAATAGACGCGAAATTACTTTAATACCCTTCTTTTAATTCCGAGTTCGTTCTTTTATTATGATTATGAATTAGATAATATGCCGGTATTATACATGTATGAATCATATATTATTAATTACAAAAATAATGTCTCTTTTGTAAACAAATAGAATTCAATTTTTTATTTTTTATTTTGAAAGAACCAATATCTTCCATATAAAAATATGTATTTATGCTGATGAAATATATTTTTATAAAAATTCAAACTAAAATTTAAAATTATTATCGATATTTAAAAAAATCTGTAATTTATTTTTTCAAACATCCATATTATAGGTTAGTTGTTGAATGTTGATATTTTCCTTTTTAGTTGCACCAAAAATGGATAGAGACATTGTTAAATTTAATTTTGTATATGTGTATATACCAAGAACAATTATACCGCCACCTTCAGGAATACTAATATTTTCAGTTTTAGTTCTGTATGGGATCCAGCTCAATGGAGTTGGCAACTTTCCATGAAGATATTATTGATACAGCACTTTGGGCTACAAATGAAAGCATCATTATAGCTTTTTTGTAGTGCTTCCTTTCATTGATTAGAAAATTTGATATATGATCGGATCCATTTAATAATATGAGAAATTCACTTTGAGAACTTTAAGAAACAAATCATTATGCCAAATCAGAAAACTAAACAATCAAATTAGAGTTTTTTGGAAGGAAAAATTACAGCAAGTCTAATGCATTACAGGGTAGAAAAATAAGTTATATTATATTATTCATAAAGCATAAATAATATGATTCACACCCACATACACACAGAGATAGAAGATCAGACCAAATATGATATATGGTTCGGTGAAATTAGGAAACTATTGAACTCGTGCATGAACTTGTCAAACAAAAAGACTTAAGTATCAGTACTTCACAGGATTTTATATTAAAAAAATATCAATATTAAAATTCAAATTTTTTCCAACCAGCCAATAAATTTTTTAAATGGGCACTTGTCACCGTTTTTTCGTAAAATGAATGCCTTCAAATAAAGTTATATAATAATGAGATTGGGAAACTTTAATTTGTGGTATAGTTATAAATAGAGAGTGTTAACCGGACATTACAAACTTCTCATTTAGTCCGTGGAGAGGATCATGCATTATTAACTCAAAATCTAATCAATATTAATTTGCCTCTGCATATGTCACTTTTGATTATCTTAATGAGTTTGGATAGACCTACTTTCATTTGGTGTTTGGACAAAAAATAGCAGCAAAAAAAAAACAATGAAACAAATAAAAGTACAGAGATTTTCTCCTCAGTATAAAAGCTGTCATAATATCACTCCACACATTCAAATATACATCAATCTTTCTTTTTTTCCCCCGTAACATGTGTAATTTATCAGCCATTTTATTTTAAAAAAATTATATCACAAGTCTAGTTTAGTCACAACTCAAGTTCTCAACGAATGTTTTGTCTTCCACATGCATGATTCCACCCCTCTCTCTATTTATATATATATATATGAAATTTCTTAATATATTCTTCCCCGGCCATCGATGCTTGGATGAGGATTAATTAATGATGACAACTGCTGATTCAAAAGTTAAAATAATGATATATAGTATAGTTGTTTGATAAATATGTATACTAATTTTTTCAATTTTATATCATCGATGCTCACACGCCCACATGCTAGTTCATATCAAGCCACAGTCATAATTAGGCATATGGTACATATCATTAACGTATCTGTAACCCATATGCTATCATATTCAGAAGAATATAATATAAATTTATCTCTTAACTTATTAGTATAAATATTATCACATATATTGTAACACCCCGAATTTTATGATTTAAGATGAGTAGAAAAGAGAAAAATTTATTAAAATTATTTATTTGCCAAATAAAGGGGAAAAATTATGGAATAATGATTTTTAGGGTTTAGAGACATTTTGGAAAAGGTATTTCCCAAAAATGGCTTAAATAATTTTAATAGATAATTTTAAGAGAAAAATGGTTTATTTTCTCTGAAAATTATGGAAAAATACTTAGAGGTTTCTAATTAACTAGAAAATTTTAGAGAAATTATCTTATGATGTAGAGAATTTATTTGAGGCATAAAATCCTTAAAATGGGTTAAGGATTAATTTCTGGATTTAAGGGCTATTTTCTTCCACAATTCAAGAAAAATAGGTAGGAGATTATTTTTGACCCGAAATTTTTAGAGAAATTATTTTATGGGTCAAAGAAGATAATGGAGAAGGAAAATCCAAACAAAACATCATGGAAAATTTTTGGATTTATTCTATGATTTCAGAAATTTAGTGAGAGGATGAAATTGGAAGTAAGAATGGTTAGAGGGGCAATTTGGTCCAAGAATATCTCTCACCTCATACGTGTACCCTGCCCTTTTAACCATCAGACACTCACCCACTTCTTCATTCATTTCGGTGTTCGTGGAAAATCAGAGTGAGAGCGCGAGCGAGAGAGGGAGAGCAGGGGAGAAGATGCTGTGCTGAATCTTGGTGATCGGAGGTGATTCAATTGCATGCAAACCGGTTAAACTGTCAAGGTGAGCATCCTGATCAAACTCCCACCATTTTCTTTTCTGTTATTTGCGTAGTTGGGTTGTAATGGAAGAGAGAGAGAGATGAGTTAGTGAGAGAAAATGGACGAAAGAAGAGGAGGACCGGTTGGTTCGTGTCCTGAGGCGAGAATGAGGTATATGATACCAGTTTTTGGGCTTGCATGTAAGGTTGATACTCTGTTTTGAGATTACCGAACTGATATAACATATTGGTATACTTCGACGTCGTTGCATGCGCTGCTTTGCTCTGTTTATGATTACCAAACAGGTGGTTATTTCTGCAAGTTGTTGGCTTCGGGTATAGCTTGTGAAAGTGAAGTATAATAATCCAAGCTTGTAGTTGCTGATTTAAATTCATGTGTTTCGAATCTGAAACTTTGTTTGACGGCATGCCATTCAGTTTTTACTGAAGTTAAAACAGAGCATTAATATGTGAATCTATACTCCCAAAGCTGGAAAAAAAAAAAATCAGATTTATTCAGTGGGGCTGTCCGAATTTTTAAGGAGAGAATGGTACCCAAAAGCTAATGGACTTATACTATAGAGTTGTATGATATTTAGAGGACCAGAACGTGCATGCGCGTGCGTGTGACGTAATGAGTGAACTTGGGAGCTGTATATATTAGATGGTTAAGTTTGAATTAAATTAAGTTTCTGTTTATGGGGCTAAAAGCTCAATAATTTGTTCAGTGGTTAAATCAAGTTTGAATTATGTTGATGGTTAAAGTATAGTTAAAAATGCAAATTAGTTAGCAAGAACGAAAATTTTGTTGAAGTAAGCTTTTAATATCTTTAGGAGAAGGTTTTATTAAATCTGAAAAAAAAATGGTGATTAAAACTGGAAATTTCCAGAATAGATTAGAAATGTTGTATACATTTTTAGAAGATTGTTAACTGCGTAAAACATTTGAAGATAGAAAGGATAGCTGAGATTGATTTGAAATTTATCGTTTGATATTTTCCTGAGCTTTCCAGATGGTTTGGCCGTGGGATTCTAATGGCAGGAATGATTAGAATATAAATATAATATATATATATATATATCCATATATGCTTGTTATATGTACGTTGTTGCTGTCAAGAGAGGCCGAATTGGTTCATGAAATATTAAAATAATGAGGTTGGTTGGATGTATTTGAGTTTCTGGTTTATGACTCTCAAAGCAAGAATTTATATTTATGAAAGAATGAGTTTAGCTTCTAAACAGGGGAACTGAAATTTTGGGATGTTAGGAAGAACTTAAGGTGGTTAAGTTTTGAATTAAGGATGTTTTAAGTTATATTTAGAAGCAGTAAAATGAAGATTTAATTATTGTTGTAAGGTGGAAAATTTCCAGATTTGAATGAGAAGCTGAATAGAGAAAGTATATTTGAGTTTCATAGGGATTGTCGTTGAAACAGGGGGGTGATTAAATCCTATTAGATATATGTGTGAATCTGGAAAATTTCCAGATTTGTTTCTAAGTGATGTTTAAGGATTGTTGGATTAAACAAAATGAATTTGGGAGTTAAATGAGGATTTTGAAAGTGCGTGTATATATACACACGCACACATATTATCTTTGACTAAGATGACTAGTTACTAAATAAAGTAACTATGTGGGTTGAGATAAGGAAGGAAACTCTCCAAAGAGAAAAGTTTAAATAAGAAAAATTGTCCAGGATGACCAACTATTAAGTAAGGGTAGAGATTGAAAGAGATTGGGATTTAAAGAGAGTTATTTAATTTATAAATTATGTTGGATCAAGCATTAACCTACCCTTACTAATATGATAGGTTTTTATATCTGCTCAAGCCCACCAAGAAATAGAAAGAAAGGAGAACGGTAAGGTTTGATTTGGAGGGATGCGGACCAGGTAGTAGTTCTTTCCTCCCTTACACTTGTGTATGATTGCTGC